TTTTCCTGAAACAGTTAAAGACATTCTTAATATGGAGATCTACAGAATAAGTACAAGGGTCCAGTTAAATGAACTCAAAATTTGCATAGTTAATTTTACGCTAACTTATAAAAATTAACCGGATTTACGATTATACACTGAGCATGCGCATACACAGACATTTCTATTTTTCGTAGAAAAATTTAATTATTACCTTAATACAGAGATGCTGTGAATATAAATTTATATAATGCAAAAGTAAGTTTATTTCATATGCTAATTTAGAGGCTTTCTTAATATGTTTAATTATAAAGAAAAAAAAAAGCGTTGCAATTCTTGTTCACTGACCAATGGCAAAGCAGACACTTTCTACTTCCGGTTGTGGCGGGATATTTGTGAAGTCAGCACTCAGCAATGGCGGTCGAAAAGAATGGTAAAGTCGCAAAGAATACTGTTTGTTCGTGGATTGGCGTTTGTGACTGAATCCATCGAAGTTACTAATTATTTGAAGAAAGTAAGTGAATATTTTATATTTTCAGTGTTTAATACTCGTACTTTCTTCACCTATATAAAATTTTATAAATAGCGTCTGTGTAGGAAATGTGATTTTCCATGTGTTGTTCTTTTGTGTACGTGCCTAATGATTCATTTTCAGGATTTGGTACTGTTAAATTTTGCACTAGTCTGTTTCTTACTGTTTGTGTCACTCCTTTTGTATGTGTCTCACCTTTTTATAGTTATATTATTTTTACTTTTTACTCAAACGTTTTAATATTTATCTTAAAGCATACTGTAATTAAGCAGGAAATAGCTTTTAATGGAAAAAGAAAGGCAATATTAACATGACTAATTGTTCAGAAATCTGTTATGGAAATGTTATCTACCTTATGCCAAAAAATAAAGCATGTAACTTTCATTTATTTATGAAATTCAAAATTTTTTATTTGCTTAGTGTTTTCCCTAAAAATAATTTAATTTCTTATTTTTGAATTTAGTTTTATAAATTTGCTTTAATATATAATCTTTAACTCAAAGATATTGTGCTATTAAAAAAGGAAATTTTATGCCATAGAAACACAGGTACTTTGTTCCAAATCTGTGTTCATTTTTTTTATATATATATACTGAATTTTTATGCACTTGTAATTACTGAAATATATCCTTTCATGAATAATAAGTAAGTCCTAAGTCCTTTCATGAATGCATTTCTTTTTTTGTTTGTTTGATTTTGTTTTGTTTAAAAGATCTGCCATAGTTAAAGAAAGAAAATAAAGTAAGAATGCTTTACTTTCAGTTTTGAATAAATTTATTACTATTTACTGCAGCTTCAAGTTTCTCTAAACATAATTTTCGAAGTCAAAACTTGATAGTTATGTTGATTATTAGACTTGCATGAAAAAATTTATTGAAAAATTAGTATTTGATCTAAAATACCTTAAATTATTTGAATTATATTTACTAAATCATGTATTTTGATATAACTAGATAGTTAAAAAAATTAAAATTGTAAATGTGCAGAAATGCTTATATAAAACCAAGAAATTGTTTATATTTTTGTTGCTTTTTCCCTTGTAAATTAATTATATATATATATATATATTACAGTCTGGGGAGTCAGCACCCTGCTGAATTGTAGTAAACGAGACGTCCAATCTACTAGACCATCAAAGATGCAGATTTGGATTTTCTATTTCATAGTTATTGAAATCATAATGGTATGTTTGTTTAAATTAGTACTGTTTATGAATGTGATAAAAATAAATTCTGATAAGCTAAGAAATGATTTATTTTCTATTAATTATGAACTGTAAATAATGTAACCAATTTTCTTCATAGTATTTACTAAACATTTTTTTTTAAAAAAGGGAGGTAGTCTTATTTATACAATTCTTGCAGAGATACCAAGAAATAAAACATTTCAGGAATTTTCACTCAGTATATCTTGATGTGTAAAATCATGTTGTTCAATGCCATATTACTTTTTCACAGGAAAGTAATTTTATTGATCTAACATCTGCATAAATCAAACTTTTTTAAGAATGATTACAGTTTCTAAGCTAACTTAAAATTTTCAGATTTAGAAAATGTATGTTTAATGTAGCATTAGTTTTCCATGGAATAGAAAAGGTTTTCAAAATGTTCAGTTGTTAGAGGGAAATAATATAAAATGAGATTGTCCTGATACAGTTTCAGCTGGAAATGAAACTGAATTTTCGGATAGTGAAGATTTCATTTAAGAATTCTAATAAAACTGATTAATGTAAATCCTCTGCATTTAAGAATTCTAATAAAACTGATTAATGTAAATCCTATGATTCATGTAGGTATTCTTCTGTTATCAGGACCAGATTCAGAAATGTGTGTTTATATGCATGCATTTTTAAATGTAGGTGCTCGTGTGTGCATGTGTATATTCTTTATGTATGTATGTGTATACTTATACACATATATGCGCATACATGCATATACACATGCTTACATATCTACAGTGGAACCCCGAGATACGAGTTTAATTCGTTCCAGCATTCAACTGGTATAGCGAATTTCTCGTATCTAGAAACAAGCTTCCCCATTGAAAATAATGGAAATTCAGTTAACCCGTTCCACACCCCAAAAAATATCAACATTTTAATATCAAGTCAATTTTTCCTAATAAATAACACTGGTAAATAATATAACAATAGTTTAACTTTGTTACCAACATTTTAACTCCTTCTCATTAATCCACACCAACAACAGCTTCTCAACATCTAGGAGTACTTTTATGGTGCTTGGAAGCAAACGATAATTCCTTTGGCTACATCAGGTTTCTTAATTTCTTCCTGCTTCTTCAGAATAGTATAGATTTTCGATGTTGAAAGGCCGCAAGTCTTCGCCAATTCCGTCACCATGCTTATGTTTATCTACGATTTCTTTCTTGATATCGACGGCCATGGCCTCCTTATTTTTCTTTGCAGCACTATCTGAGGCAACAATCTTCTTGCGAGGCATCTTGAAATAATTATTTTCACGTTAAATGTCAAAACAATTAACTTACAAGTGCACAAACACGTATATAAAAGAACACTGAGTGATCTGACGAGGGGATTCCCCGAGTTGAGCCGGATAGGGAAATGGCGCCACCCATACCAACAGCCTGGCTCATTGCTCGTTACTCGAATTAATGCTCGTATTTTGCTCATACTTTCCTCGTATCTCGAGGTTTCATTGTACATTTCTGAATCCCGTCCTAATAACAGAGGAGTACCTTTGCCAGTATTGCAACAGAGCTAGAATGAATTATTGTGTTAAATATGTGGAAAATGCATGCTTAAAGTACTGTTATTTTCTAAAAATATTCTGTATGTCTATTTTTTACAAGAAGAAAAAATAGCTAAAAGCTGTTAATTTACTCGTATTTATTAGTCCAAAGGGGCTTTGTCCCTAAAGAACTATTGTTTTTGTTTTGCATTGGTTCACTATAAATATCTGTTTCACTTTTCAAACTGTTCCTACCAAATGTTAGAGTCCCTAGTGTGGGATTAATACTCTCTATCTTAGTGCCCTCTATAACCTATGTTAGGGTTAACCTGTATAACCTACAAGGATTGCCAGTTTAGGCGAGATATCTAGGTAGTCATCATAATACGTACCTTTTTATTATTTTTAAATTAAATTGAAAGTAATAAACTAGTTTTCAAGAATGGAGTTAAACTAGATTTGCATTCAACTCTGGTTTATTGTGTTAATGATGTTTTGCTGTAACAAATATGAATTTTTTGTTTAAGTATAATAATTTAAAATGTTTTTTCTAGAGAATGAAGTACTGCCACTAAGGTAAAGGTGCTAACTTGCAAGGTAATTTTCTATTCTACATTAACTCAATCTTTATGTCCTGTTACAGATATATTGGCAGAAATAATGAAAACCTGACATTCAAAAAGAAAAATAATAATGTTGAATGTAGTATATTAGATGGTTAACTGCGGTTTGGCAGCTCATTAATAATCTTACACATATTGAGTACGAATAACTTTGACAATTACCGGTATTTTCAATAGTATAAAATTAGGCAAGAAAGCAGCTTTAGCTTAGCACCGATTTTAAATACAACTCTCTTACCAATATTGGTTTGACGAAGGTAAAATATAATTGAATTTAATAAGTTGGAAATACTGTCTGTCTTTCCATGAGTTAAAAAATAATTTCAAATAAAATTTCTTTTTTCAGTTTTTCATGTTATTTGTTTAATGTTATTGTAATCTGATTTATCATATTTAGTCACATATTCCATCCCTCTTTGCACTATAGTATATAATTCAAAGGACTTATCAGTTTCAGCAATATTTTTTTTACCAGTATACATTTTTACCATAACTCTGTTTCTAAATCATATCCTGAAAAATTAAGGAGTAAAGTACACAAAGAAGGAAAATATGCAAGTAAATAATGGCATTTAGTGTTGTTTATGTGTCTAATATTTGTACTAGATTGTAAAAGTTATAAATTCTATTAGCTTTTTTAAATTATTCTTTTTGAGATGCTTCTTTGCACCCAAATGGTTAAAGCCCTAGTGTGACTTTGGTACTTTGATCTAACTTCTATTCCTAATAAATAATCCAGCTGCATACAGTTTACTCAATTTCTGCTGCCATGTGTAAGGTAAACAATATTAGCTTTTTTTAAATATATATCTTTTACAACTATTCCATCAGGTAGATTTCTTTCATATTTTGCCTTAATTGAGTCATCCTGCTAATTAAGAATTTATTAAAGTTAATATGTTAAGTTTTTGTGTGTATAATTCATTTTAAGTATGTGCAAGCAAATGCATACATTAACAGTTACATAGAATTATGTTTTGGGTATCAAATTCAGAAATTTTGGGGCTGTTTTTAGAAGATTTTTTAATGATTTATACTATATTAATATTGGTAAAAAAAATTCTGTGGCTTTTATATGAGAGTATGTATTTTAAAATAGCTGCATGATATGGTAGAGGTAAAAAGCTTCATGTGGATCATAAATTAATATTATGTGGGAATTTTTCATTTATTTAATAAAGAAAATATTCAAGCCACAATTAAAATTTTTTCACTGGATTATTTGCATACAAAGTTTGCAGCAAATATTTCCTGCAACAGAAGTGACAATTTTTATTTTGCCAAGACAGGAAATTTAGTTAGTGAAAGCAGTAACCCTATTTTGAGATGTTAAACAGGAAGGCAAATTTTTGAATTTAAATTGATTTTTGAAGGAAGACTTCATTTAGTCTTGCTATCATTCTACGTGGCTCTTAACTTTTTTATGGTATTTATAATTTTATTGTTATTCAGCTTTCTGTTTGCTTAGAATGCACATGAATGTAGACTTGAAATATTTTATATTGCAAACTGAGATGCCATTGTTATCATAATTAAAGATTTTTGCTCTGATTTTGGAGGAATTTACTGATAATACTTTTGATTGTGTATTGGTTTCTGGTTTATTGAAATGTGTAAAATAGCCTGTTAATGCATATACGTATGTTAATGACATGTATATGTTTATGAAGTATTCTGTTATATGTATATAGTGTTGTGATTAGTTTTCTGCTTACTCTTAAGAAAAAGTTATCTGTAAGAAAGTGAATATTCTTTACTATATGTAGGAGTAAAATTGAAAAAAGGCTAATGCAATATAATTAATACAAAATTAAGTTTTTTCTCATGTACTTAAATACAAACATAGCCATTAAAGACTTTCTCAACCTTGCAGTTCTAAACAAATCTTAAGTATTTTTACTTGAAATTATAGGCATTGTGTAAGGTATATAATTGAAGCTTACTGTGTGATAGTATGAAATTAAATTTTTAATTACTGAAATGTAAATTTTTAAATATGAAATACTCAGTGCATTTTATATGCATCTTTTAATACTTCAACTATATTTAAAAACTGAAAACATCTGAAGTGTGAAATTATTACAAATTTTTCTTTTTCTTGTTTAGGAGCTGTTCTCAAAACATTGGGTGACAAAGAATTCACTTTTACAAAAATCGAGCAGGATATTAAAGACAGCGAACTATAGAACAAATATGGCGAAGCTGCATGAAGTCTATGTTGAATTTTATTATTGAAAAAAATATGCTCTTCAGATTTAATGTTAGTTTTTATTGTTTAACAGTAATTGCAGTTTTCGTTTCGAATACCTGTAAAATAAACCTAATTCTTAAATTAATTTCATGTGTATTTCTTTTGCAAGTATTACAGTTCATAATACTTCAAACAACTTGAAATTTTATACTTGTTAATTTATGTGGGATATGTTCATAATAATTTTATAATTTAAATAACTCATTGTCATCATATGAGCATAATCTAAAATGCACAGCATTTGACAACAAATTAATAAAAAATTAGCCAACTTCTAATTGCTTTTTTTTTCTTTTGTCCAGTTGCCTCTTTTTAAATCATTTAATACCATAAAGCTATTTGATGAAAAAAAAATAATTGGTATGTCCACATCAACATGTACATTTATAATGATGTTATAGAAAAAGTCACATGAGATAAATATTTAAAAACTTCAATATTCCTAAACAAATTAACTTTTTAAAATTTTATCTGGTATATAAGATAAAATAAAGAACATATTTAGGTAATTTTGAATTTGCATAATTTTATGAACTTATTTATGAAATTAACAGTTACATTGTAAAAGGGAACTTTTTAAAAATACCTCAATAAAGCATTTCTTTTGTAGAGGTGAACTTTTAGTACTGATCTAATATATTTATAAGATTTTAAACTGAGTAACTTTAAGACAACAATAATAGATTACAATACATTGCAAGATTGACTGATAAATGTAAAATTTTTACATATCATAATTATGTGTGTAATTAAAACAGAAGTTACTCGATTAACTTGCATGCAAATTAATATTTTCTTTAACATGTTTGGGATAAACTGAATTTTAATAAATAAATATGTATATATTTGTGTATTATCTGAAGATATGAATGAAATATTTGTGACATTAAACATTCATCTTCAAGGAAAATAACAAAGTCAACTTGGTAAACTATTGGAAAAGGTAAGTTTTCTACAATTTCCTGGTCTATATTTAACAATTTTAAAATTTAGCACACTCATTCAAATAATCTAAACGTATGATGTTTTTCTTTTGTGCTACATTCGTTTACTGAATTTGTTAATTAACTATATTGTACTTTAGATAGAAATTAACGTAGATATTCCCTGTATTTTACGGTACAAAAACTTATATATTTGATAATAATTGACCTAAATCTTCCCTATGTTTTCTTTGCATATACGAATGACTTTGGTAAAAATTTAGTCCGATGTCTTCTCCTCTTTACTGTGTATAAGTGCACATTTTTGGTAAAAAATTTGCATAAATCTCCAATTACCTATTTACTTACTACTGCATTTTTCGTAAAATGTGCTTATTTTAATCTCTTATTTTTTTATATAAATCTATGCAAAAATGTTCTGCATATTATGATTAAAAGATAAAATTAATTTAATATCAAATTTTTACATATCCACCTTTTAGGTATGTACAGCAATATGGAATATATATAACTGGAAAATTTAAATGCAAAAAAATTAATTTCTATTCAAAAATTACATAACACTAAAAGGCTGAAAATCACTTTTAATATTTCATTTCAAAGTGACTACAAATATATGCAATAAATTTTGTAAACCTGAGTTCTATGTTTTAAATCAATTAATGCTATCGTTCATTTACATGGCATAAGAAATGTCCTTCGGAAAAGCAAATAATTTATTTAAAGTGTTATTTAGTAAACAACTGTTTGCTACAGTTTTTTACTAAATTTAAATTTATGAAATGAATTTAGTAAACAAAAATGCAAATGAACGATAGCATTAATTGATTTAAAACACAGAATTGATGTTTACGAAATTTATTGCATATTTTGTAGTCACTTTGAAATGAAATATTAAAAGTCATTTTCAGCCTTTAAGTGTTACGTAATTTTTTAATAGAATTTTTTTTTTTTTAATTTACTAGTGCATTTAAATTTTCCAGTTATATATATTCCATATTGCTGTACATAACTAAAAGGCAGATATGTAAGAATTTGATATAAAAATTTTTACCTTTTAATCATAGCATACAGAAAGTTTTTGCATAGATTTATATAAAAAAATATGAGATTAAAATAAGTACATTTTATGAAAAATGCAGTGAAAAGGTAGTTGGAGATTTATGCAAATTTTTTACCAAAAAATGTGCATTTATACACAGTAAAGTAGAGAATACATCGGATTAAAATTTTTACCAGTCATTCGCATATGCAAAGAAAACATAGGGAAGATTTAGGTCAATTACTATCAAATAAATATACGTTTTTGTACCGTAAATTACGGGAAATATATACGTTAATTTCTATCAAATATATACGTTTTTGTACCGTTTTACCTAATATATACGTTTATATACAGTAAAAAATCGGGTAAATTTTTACTAAATATATACGCATACGGGAAGCAAAAAATTGAGATTTACGTATATGCGATAAATATACGTAAATTTTTACTAAAAATATACGTAAATCCCTGAAATTTACGTATATTATACGTAAAAGTTGCGAATAAACAGTAGTCTCTCGCGTAAATATACCTAAATTTTACGTAAAAGTTACGTATAGTATAACGTAAATAAAAAGGCAAAATAGGGAAAAGCCATTCGTAAATTGCGTACCACTTGTTGTTTCCCCTTGCTGCCGGGAAATTCTTCTCTCCCCGTCAGCCTGTAGTTTTGCCAAACGGGTTTACTGTTTCACCAATTGGCGCTTTTCTGTACAGTTTTTAAGTCCGTATCGCCTGTTTGGCGCTGCCGCTGCATACTCCCTCCGCAGTGTCAACGAAATGTGACATACCGATGCGGGGGTCGGATTAATCGTCCAGAACGGGTGATACAAATGTCCGAAGTTTTTTTCACACTCTTGGAAGCAACTTGAAAAGAGTCCATGGTTACAAAAGCGGGTGTCAGTCTATCTATGGAGATCGTTTGCTTAGTCCATTTTATTTCGAGATCAAACGTTTTATCTCGTCTTTCTAGCACATTAAATGGTCCATCATAAGGAGTTTGAAGTGGTTTTCTAACTCCGTCGTGTCGAACAAACACATATGTGGACTTGTGAAGGCGTGGATGAATGAAACATGTTCGCTGACCGTGGCTAGAAGTCGTGGTCGGGCGGACACTGGCAAAGTGAGATTTTAAATCCTCCACAAACTGTTTGGGGAACGCATCCGGAGGTGTCGGATTGAAAAATTCTCCTGGGAGACGGATAGTCTTTCCATACACCAGTTCAGAAGTGGTTGCTCCTATGTCCTCTTTGAGAGCGGCGCGGAAACCCATCAGCAGCGTTGGAAGGGCAGCCACCCAGTCACTGGTATCGTGCGCTTTTAAGGCAGCTTTCAAAGGACGGTGGAATTCCTCGATCAGTCCGTTTGCCTGTGGGTGGTACGGAGACATCCTGATCCTCTTGATTCCCAATAATTGGGAAAGGGCTCGAAATAAGCCGCTTTCAAACTGTCGCCCTTGGTCGGTAGTAATAACAGTCGGACAACCAAATCGAGTAATCCAGTGGTCATAGAAAGCCTGTGCTACTGTGCGTGCTGTTATGTCTGGTATGGGTACTGCTTCGGGCCATCTAGTAAATCTATATATCATAGTTAGACAGTAATAATTATTTTGAGAAGGAGGTAGGGGACCAACAAGGTCAAGGTGGACGTGATCAAACCTCTGTGATTGGTCTGGAAACTTCATTAACGGGGTTCTAGTATGTCTGCTTACTTTTGCTTTCTGGCACGGAATGCACTGCCGTGCCCATTTCGCGCAATCTTTGCGGATGGAAGACCAAACAAACCGTGAACATACTAACTTTGTTGATGCGCGAATGCCGGGGTGAGACAAATTGTGCAAGGTGGCAAAAACTTTCTCACGGAATGCCGGAGGAATGTAAGGACGGGCGTTACCTGTTGACACATCGCAATATATCGAAAAGCTACAATTCGGTAAGGTAACTTTTTTGAGATGTAGAACTTTTGACTCTTTAAGCAATGTTTGTAATTCTGTGTCGATTTCTTGCATTTTAGCGATTTCCTCATAGTCGATAGGGTTAGGCATGCTTATTGCTTCTATACGCGAAAGTACGTCGGCAGCGATATTCTCCGAACCTTTTATATGGCGAATTTCAGTGGTGAATTGTGAGATAAAGTCTAACTGCCTAGCCGGACGAGGTGAACACTTATCCAAACGCTGTCGGAATGCATACGTGAGCGGTTTGTGATCGGTGATTAAAGAAAAGTTCCGTGCTTCCAACATATGCTTAAAATGCCTAATAGCAGCATAAGCTGCCAATAGCTCTCGATCATACGCACTATAGTTCCTTTCCGCCTGCGAAAGCTTTCGTGAGAAAAATGCGAGAGGCTGTAAATTTCTATCAACTATTTGTGATAGCGTTCCACCGATCGCGAAGTCTGACGCATCAACCTGTAAAACCAACTGGGCATCTTTCTTCTTCGGGTGTGCCAAAAGAACAGCATTACCGATTAGCTGTTTGCACTTTTGAAATTCACTCCGCGCTTCCTCAGACAAATTCAGGATTGTCTTATCATTTTTCTTAGCCCCTTTTAAATACGAAGTTAAATGTATTTGATTCTGGGCTACGTTGGGTAAAAATCGACGGTAAAAATTTAAAAATCCTAAAAATCTCTGCAAATCTTTTACCGTTTTAGGAAGTGGGTAGTTAAGTATCGGTTCCACTTTGTTCGTCAGAGGCTTGGTACCATCTTTATTGATTATATGGCCTAAAAAGATATTTCCGGAACGCCGAAAACACATTTCGAAGCGTTAATTGTCAATCCATATGAAGTTAATCTTTCAAAAACAGTACGTAGGTGAGATTTATGCTCATCTTCCGTATGACTAAATATCAAAATATCATCTAAGTAGACGTAGGCGAATTTTAGATCTCCAAGAATTTCGTTCATAAACCTTTGAAAGGTTTGAGCTGCTCCGCACAGTCCGAAATTTAAAAACGGAAATTCGAAAGACCAAATGGGGTGCAAACTGC